TCAGGGGCGAAGTAGCAGTCACGTCAGACGAACAAGAAACTGACCTACGTATCACACAGTCCCCTGGACTCTTGTTTGGGAGGCACACACCTCTCTTAGACTTATGTATCTTATTATCGCAGTCTCTTTCAAGTATTTCCATAATTATATCGCGTTACTTGACCTTCTTTATAAAAATTTTCAATTCGGATTACAGATGGAATGAAATGATGTAGTTAACCTCCATGAATACCCGAGTCCTAAAATTTTAAGTGGAAAGTTATAAACCCTTGAATTCAGGAATTCTTCTCTTCTCATCAACATTGCTTCAAATGCAACATTATCTTCAAACGACGTACTTCGGTGTGAATGGCACTGGTTGTGTGTTTCGTCGCTGCCATCTGGACAGTCACGGGCACCATCACAAAGCCATGACATAGGAATGCACTTGGGACTGTTTCGGCAAGCAAACTGTCCTATCGAGCATAGTGGTAATGCTGAATAAGATTAATAAAGTACAACATTGTCTTCAACTTTCCCCAAACAGACACTTTAAGAGGTACAGAAACCTTTGGACAAAACAATTTTATTTTAGGCCAATCAACTACCTTCCAAGGTCCGTCAGACACTCAGCCTTCACTCAAAGTCCTAATGGAAAAACAAGGTTTATTCACCCACTTGTTTGAAGAATGGACTGGATTAGCCTGAGATTAGAAGGGTTTAATCACTCCCACTCCATGTTATCCTTAGCGATGAAGCTCCTCTGTCGGGTCAAAAAATTAAGAAATCTTGACAAATTACAAACTGTTCACAGGGCCTGCCGGTGCGACATATACCTTGCCCCCTAAAATTTTTCAGACCCTTTGTCGTGTGGAGGGTATTCTCCGAGATGAACTTTTTGAGCAAACTTACTTTTTCGAGCTGGAACGATAAAAAAGAGCAAAAAGTAGACTTGGGAATGACCGACAGATTTCATGAAGTCGTATAGAAGATTGAATAGAAGTCGGAATGCTCGCTGGTTGCCAGGAGCACACAATGACAACGAGCGAACCCCTCCATTTAACCTACGCTCTCCAGGCTACGCCTAGTCACTGCTTCCAACGCAAAAGAATCACAATTGTCCTAAAAATGAATGGACATTGGTGCATAGGAAATATAATAGGAGAGGTAACAGTGAGATCAAAAGAATTCTAGTACGCCGAACACGCATTCATGGTGGTCTTTAGCACTTAAAAGTAGGTGAGGCGAGGCGTTAATCTCAATAACAATGTCTGAAAACACTCAAGTTTTAAGCATTTCAGTGAGGCAAAGAGATGCCTACTGACCAAATTTTCGCATTGCAGCTTTACAGAATAATATCCATGAATGCTCTTCCAGCGAGTGCACTAGGGAACAAAGATGGTCTTAAAAAGCACCTAGTTGGGTAAGGTCAAATTTGGTGCAGGTAAGGCATGAGCAAGATAATCAAAGCACGTATGAGCTTTGCGAAAACGGACTCAGGTCAATTTTTTCTGGAGTTCAGAAAAAATTGCAAAAATGAGATTATAAAAGGTGAGCTTGGCATTGCTAACATAGGTGAATCTCCATCCACGATTAGCAGGCTTTTTTGGGAATATGTTTTTTTTTGAAAATTTAGACTCTTCAAAAATGTCCTCTGTTTACATGAACACATTAGGTTTAGATCCTTAGCTTCCAGTCATCATAACTGTCAACATCTTGCATGCTGTCCAATGCTATGCTTTGTTCTATGCACTGTAAAATCGTCATTCACTAAGAGCATTTCAATTCATGAACCACTCAATGAAGGCCTCCAACTGAAAAGTTTCTCGTTTCTTCAAGTTCATGTAGTAATTGCATTGTCATCTTGTTAGAAAAATCAGACTACTACACAACGCGGTCATATTAAGGGTTGCTGGCGGGGTTGGTGTAGTAGCAAGTGGCACACAACCAACCAGGTATTGCCCTGGTCTGAGCTTAGGAGCGATACCTGCCTCCCATTTCTACGACGTCGGTTACTTGGTACCACACTTGTATACGGATCTAAAGTATAGTGTGGGTCTTGTACTCTGGCTTGCCTTTGCAAGCCCATTGTATAGGCCACATGCACGTTCATTCGTTTCCACGACTAGAAGCCGAATGCGGGGTGCAACTCAAAGACGGGATCGATTGACGCTAAAAACTTCATCCTTCATAAAGGATTCTTTTGAAAACATGAACTGAACCTTCAGTTTGAAATCTGTGTTTCCCTTCGAAATAGTGACACCGATCCATTCGTAAGTCGAACATCCCCTTGCCTTCACCTCCCCGCCTGGAGAAGCTCCTTGAAATACAGAACAACCCGCTGAGCAACAATTGAGATTAGACAACGATTAGATGCATCTGGTTGTAGCTTGTATAAATAATTAAATTCTTCTGCATAACTCAGACTGACTGGACTGACTGGAACCTTGGGTGTTGAAGTTGTATGCCAAAATGAAAGACTACAGCTTTCCATCAAAAGAAATACACAGCGCCCTTTGTTTCTGGCTTTATTGGTAGTTTAGCAGTATCCAGTGTGTGATAACAACAGTACTTCAGGTTACGTGGGGCACAATGTTCTTCTGATTTCGACATCAGCCGATGCGCTAGAGTGGATGGAGAATGACGACAGCCGATGGCATTGCCCTTTTTATTAATCCCTCGGCAAGCGACACTATTTCCTCTCCTATTTTCGCTTAAGCCTGTGTAACCGTTAGCATCACAGTGAACCATTTTTTGAACAGCAAATATATTTTCAGGCGAAACCCCATGGCGCTAGCATACGCCACCATTTTCTATAAATGAGGCGCTAGGAGAGAGAGGAATGTCGTCTTATAAATGTTGTCGGTGTTCATAACACTGGTTCTCATACTACAGGATGTCGCTTCTCAAAGTGGGTCTTTTCCAAATGCAAAACTAGGCCGTAATAGTAAAGCAGACCTTTCAGGCTCGGAAAATCCTTTCCCGAAGGAGACAGTGGAGTCATTCAAGACTCTCAACATGAGGTACAACGACAAGCTGGTTAGTCTTATTAATGGTTTCACTTGCTCAGCAAGGAATCACTCCGAACATTCCCTTCGCAGACATGGAATGATGAATGGGCGAAAAAGGCATTGGAGTGGTTGAAGTCGCCAGAAAATGTGAAGGATGATGTGATTATTATCAAAGGAAAAGAGTTAGCATATGCTTCTTTGAATCTTTTTTTTTCTATTATGAATACGCTATTTCAACAGGTATTTCCCAAAAACGGATAGCAAGACGCTGTGGCAGAAAGTGCTCTCGGTTTTCGAACACCGTCTTGATCGAAGAAAAAAA